GATATTAAAATCACCAACAATTAAAACTTGATCTGCAGCCAGCACTAACTCTGATATAAAATCAGCAAATTATTTAATAAAGTCTGTATGTGCCCTGGTGGCCTGTATACAGTAGCCAGTACAAACATCACAGGGGATTTATCATTAACACTTGTTTCTCTGGATAATGTTATATGAAGAACCATTACTTCAAACGAGTTATTTTTGAAGCCCACCCTCTGAGAAATACTGTAAATATTGTTATAAATTGAAGCAACACCTCCCCCTTTACCTTTTGGACGTGGCTCATGTTTATAATAGTAATCTTGGGGGGTAGACTCATTTAAAATAATGTAATCATCAGGTTTTAGCCAGGTTTCTGTCATACGGAGCACATCTAGGTTATGATCAGTGATCATATAATTTACAAAAAGTGCTTTCGTAGAAAGGGACCTGATATTAAATAAGCCATGCTTTATCATTTGTTTCTCTGTATTATATAATTTTTTTATTAGTTGAACATCAATTAAATTGTTACTCTTAATTTGGTTTGGACATTTTTTGTATTTTCTAGTTCGGTGAACAGACACAGTCTCTATAGTGTGATATCTAGGTGAAAAAGTCTCAATGTGCTGAGAATTAACTGATTTCTGTGACGTGAGGTCAGTTTAGTCAGTCTGTCTGCTTCCTGACCTAGGCCCAGTTAGTCAAGTACAATCTCTAAGATTATGTGCCATATTTCTAGACAGAAGAGTGGCACCACCCCAGGAGGGATGAAGACCATTTCTTTTCAACAGGTCAGGTCTGCCCCAAAAACTCATCCAATTGTCTATGAAACTGTCTATGTTATTCTGCGGGTACCACTTAGACATCCAGCCATTGAGTGAGGACAGTCTGCTATGTATCTTGTCACCACGGTAAGCAGGGAGGGGACCAGAGCATATTACAGTGTCTGACATCGTACTTGCAAGTTCACACACCTCTTTAATGTTATTTTTAGTGATCTCCGACTGGCAAAGTCGAACATCATTAGTGCCGACATGAATAACAATCGTACTGAAATTACGTTTAGCATTAGTAGAGATCCTTATGCATTCGTCCTCCGCAGGTTCTTGGAGAGAACAAGGAGAACCCGTTCCTCAGGAAGAGTGTGTGCAGACTGCTGGAGCCAGTGGTGTTGAGTCTGGTTCCGCAGATTCCTGGCATCGGAAAGGTGAAGGCCATGCAGCTCCTCCAGCGATTCCCCAGTATCCATCAGCTCAGTGGAGCTTCAGTGCATGAGCAGGAGCCCATCATGGAACAGGCCACAGCCCAGCATATCACAGCATTCTTCCACAACCAGTTCACATAGGAATGCATGTTACGAACAACAGAAGGACTTTCAACAAAAAAGACAACAGGTGGCGCTAAAGTTGCATGTAGTGTTTGTTCCTTATACCCAAGTCCCATTTCAAAGTGGGAGTTGTTGTCATGTTCCTGTTCATGCATTTATTTACTTTATCTTTTGTTTTTTGAGTTACATGAAAAAATACTATGGGGTATTTCTAGAAACATGGGATGATATTAATGCGTTTGATGTACAGTTGGGCCTGAGACCACATTGATCGTTTGAGATTTTCATTGAAACTTTGTAGTGAAGTAATGAGGTTTTTGGATTTAAGAATAAAATGGTAAAAAATACAAAATTATGATAATTCTGTCCTGTTTTATGTCACAAATCAAATAACCAAATAAGTGGCATTGACCATGTGACCTACTTTTCAGTAAAGTTTGGATTTTCTTTCTGCCAAGATGTCAAAAATATAAAATTAGAATGTGTAAAACAACATTTTCACTTGTGATCTCAGACTTTTAAACTGGGCCAGTTTAATTCAACCTCATAAGTTTTAAACGGAGCCAAACCTTTAAATTCAAAAGTTAAACCTGTTAATTGGTTAATAAGTTCCTTGTTATTTTACAGTAATATGTTACTGTAAATGTAACTTTAATGTACAGTTTTTGAAAATGTATAATTTACTGTTGAAACTATAAATTGACTTTGTTTTTCATTTAATTTTGTCCTTTTTACTTAGTTTTTTTCCATCCCCAATGCATACATTAGAATTTTATGTTACATCCTGTGTTGTAAAATTAATGTGTATTAAATTATTTTAGTTTAATGTCTGTTACCTTGATAGTGTTTTGGTGTCTTGACTCTTTTACTTCTTTTTTTTTTTACTTTTTTTATGGCACTGTGCACACACACAATTGAATTGTTTTTAATTTAAATTAAATTAAATCTCTAAATCTTAAAACTCAGTAACTGTAACCCCAGCTGCTGTATTTTTATTTTTTTTTAAGTTACTTGAAGTATATAATCTGGACTCTGTCTCCCTCTGTCAGCACACATTCAGTACAGCTCTCTGTTTGTAGCTCCTGTGATCTATTGGCTTTCTGCTCGACTTCCTCTTTTAAGTGTCGCACACTGCTGGCAGAGTTTAAGCTTTCCTGCTGGACTACAAAGCAGCTCACTCTCAACGGCTTTCCTCAGGGAGATCAGCTGAAAACTGGTCTCCTTTATCTGCATGCAGTGAAAAGCTACAGCCACAAATTCACGACTTGACTTCCTAAATTCCTTTCAGGACGAATGAGGAATCCTCTGCATTGCAAACACATGTCTGTGGATGAGGAGATCTCCCTGTACCCATCCTTTCAGCTGCCCAGATCCTTTTACTGGCTGAAATTGCCTCGGTAAACATGGTATAAACTACGTTTAGTTGTATTAGAATTTCTGTTAAGTATTAGTTACTGTCCTTTTGAGAGCGCGTTGTCAAACAAGGCTGTTGCACTTCTGGTGTCCCGAGTTCGAGTCCTGATCCCATCCAGTGTGGCCAGCTTTGCAATTGTGTTGCTATTTAACAACTTTTCAGACTACCCTATCAAATTTCTTCCAAAAGCGCCAAGCAACACATTTATATTTTTAAGTGACTCAAATGATAAAAAGGCATTAATTTTCAATGTGAAATTTGCGCTTGTTTATCACGAATAAGATTTTGCATTCTTGGGTGAAATGTGGCAACAGCAGCAATAAGACTTCTCTCCAGGTTGAGTCTGTTTCTCTGTTTTGTCTTTATGTTTGCCATGGCTGAAAATGTGACCTCACACAAATAGGTTGATCCAAAAGGCAGCAGTTCATACAGAGCCCATTTCCCTACATCAGGGTATTCTTTCTCAACACTGCACCAAAACTTTGTCAGTGGTGTCTCTTCAAACCCCTATCTGAGGACAAATCTATAAGTTGTTCCTGAAGACTAACAGGAGCGGTCTCGATGCTGGTAGCCACGAAAGGGTTCCTTATCCAGTCAAGTTCAGAATTCTGAACCTCAGTGTTTGGAAAATATGACTTGAACTCAGAGGAAAGTTTGCTCATGTGTGTCTGTACTGTCTGTAGAGTGCTGACTTTATCAGCTCCACCATTTAAAATGCACCTGTTAAGCTGAGGGAAACTGCTGAGATCCCCATCCTGACATTTCCTTCTCCAGAGGTCAATTTTCTTCATGAAACCGGAAACTCGATCATACATGTGTAAGACAGATGTGTCTGTACCTTGCAGTTCCAAGTTCAATTCATTCAGCCTGCTGAAAATATCCACCAGGTAAGCTAAGTGGGCCAGCCAGTTGAAATCTTTCAGCAGTGCTGAAAGTGGATGCAAGTGCTCAGAGAGAAAATCGCCAACTTGCTCCCGTAATTCAAACAGTCTCTGAAGTGTTTTTCCTCTCGAGAGCCAGTGTACGTCAGTATGCAGCAGTAATTGATGGTGCTCAGTGCCGACTTCGTCACACAGTTTTTTAAACAGCTTGGCATTCAGAGGTCGGGATTTGATGAATTTTAATGATTTTAAAGGCGTCATTAAGGACTTCGTTTAATTTCGGGATCAATCGTTTTGAAGCTAATGCCTCCCTGTGAATTATGCAGTGCACTGTTTTGATGCCGGGATGTACCTGCTTCACACACAAGACGAATCCATGGATCTGCCCCGCAATTGATGCTGCGCCGTCCGTGCATATGTGTGAGCACATCTGCCAGTCCAACGAGTGTCGCGTGAAAAAAGAGTTCACAACATTAAAAATGTCCTCACCAGTGGTTTTGCCCAACATTGGCTTACAGAATGGTATATGTTCACTGATATCATCCGTGTCCTTGTAGCAAACAAATGCAACCAATTGTGATTCGCCACTAATGTCAGTTGACTCGTCTAATTGTAAAGCAAAACTTATAGTCCATTTTAAGTTGCCCACCACCTGTGCAATGATATCTTCAGCCATATCGTCAATTCGACGGCATACAGTGTCGTCGGATAAAGGTACCGTTTTAATTGCCTTCGCTGCTTTCTTGTTTAGCATTGGCGAGAATAGCTGCTGCTGGCACGATTAATTCCTCCGCAATTGAATATGTTTTTTTAGATTTAGCCACAAGCAGTGATACCTCATGTGATACAAGGAGGGAAGAGCTGGACATCTGTGTAGCAGCTTTTAATTTGTCTTGACTCTTTTGAAATTCAGAATATTTTCTGTGGAAGAATTCTGCCGACCTACCGACACATGAAGAATGTTTAGTTCTCAGATGTCGCTGCAAATGGGATGGTCTCATTGATTGGTTCGACAGGACCTCACCACACAGAAAGCATAGTGGCTGTGCGGGCTCAGTCGTTGTTGCAGTGAACCCAAACATTTTGTAATTGTCTTGATATTGACGTGTTTTTGTGTCTGTTATTCTTATCTTTTCTGGTGGGCCAATTTTCTTGACTTGTGTCAGGTCCACTGGTTGGTGGCCCATCAAGTTTTTAAAGTCACCTGTCCATAATGGCAGCTCAGTTCCCTTTCAAGGGAACTTCGACCTGCGTCCTCTAGGGGTCGCTATGGGGAACGCCTCGTCGTGACCCGTGTCTGAAGCATACATTCAAAAAACACCAACAACATGTTGGCCGGCGACAGCCCATGACGTCACTACCGGTGCGACTATAGTATAAATTGGCACCGGGAGAAAACGTCATTCTCTTCTTCATCTTCATTGACTGTTTTGTTTGAAGCGTGCATTCCGTGGTAAGAGCGATCTTTCTTCCTTCATTATGGCAAGCACTAGCAAGACGTTTAGAAAATGTGTGCACCCGTGTCATCGTTATTTGACACCTGATGACACATATGATCTTTGCGTCTTTTGTTTGGGTGAAGAGATGTCCTCGAGGGGGCAATCTGCGTTAATTGTGAGCGTTTTTCGAGCAGATGTTTCCGGGCATCTGCTCCGCTCTCGGTTGTCTCTCTTTTCGAGGAGAGAGGGGCAGCCATCTGCTCCCCGTGGTTCAGGACCCGCCGCTGCTGAGGCACGGAGGAGAATGAGCTTGTGGGGATCGCAGGTGGATCTGGCCGATGAGTTTAAAGAGGGGCTTTCCCTCTCGTGCTCGTCGGAAGTGGACGAGAGTGAGCTGCTGGAGGATGATGTTATTTCCCTAACATCGTCTGATCCGGGGGCCAGTGCTCTGCTGGATTCGGCCCAGGAAGAGCAGGAGATGTCTGAGGAGGGCAAAGAGGCTGAGCCCTCCCAATCCTCCTGCCCTGCGTAGGATGAGCTATTGGAGGTTATGGATCACGCCACGGAGAGACTTGACTTGCCGTGGAAGCGGGCCAAGAAAGCAACGTTGCGAGGTCGTCTCGATGAGCATTATCTTTCTGACCATAGCCCTCCAGCTCAGGTGAGCCTTCCTTTTCTTCCTGATCTCCATACAGAGATCGAGAAGGAATGGAAGAGGCCGTTTTCCTCACTCATTCATCGGTTCCAGCATACGAGTTATGTCAACATCGAGGGAATGCGCGAAAGCGGCTATGAGAAGATGCCCCCTGTAGAAGAGACGCTGGCTAGCTATCTCTCTATGGGTGAGACATCCTCTCTTAAGACTCCCTTCTTGCCATCCAAACCCCTTCAGGATACATCTTGCTTAAATGGCAGGGCATAAGCAGCAGCAGGTCAGGCTGTCGCTTTGTTGCACACGATGGCGGTGCTTCAGGCGTATCAGGCTGATCTACTGAAGACCTGGATAAAGGCAAGGGCCTTTCTCCCGATGAGGTAGCTGAGTTGTGCCGCACCACAGATCTCGCTCTCCGTGCTACTAAGCAGGCCGCCTCTGCTATGGGCAGGTCCATGGCGGCTATGGTGGTAATGGAGAGACATATGTGGGTGAACCTGGCAGATATCGGGATAGGGGTTTTCTTCTCGATGTTCCGGTTTCGCCTTTCGAACTTTTCGGTACCTCCGTCGAGACGGTGGTTGAGAAGTTCAGGGAGGCAAAGGCGCGTTCAGCAGCCTTCAAATCCTTCATTCCACGAAGGTCCAG